TTTTTTTTTTATTGCAGTTAGCTTGATATATTTTTTCTATCCTTTAACTTTTAGTCTGTTTTTGTCTTTTGTGTAAGGTGTGTCTTTGCAGGCAACATATTGAAGGGTCTTGTTTTCTTTTCCATTCTGCCACTGTCTGTCTGTTTTCTGGTGCATTTAATCCATTGGCATTCAGTGTAATTATTGATAGGTATGAATTAATTGCTGTCATGTTAGATTTTTATGGTGCTTCTGGTTCCTTTGTTCTGCATGCCTTCTTGTGCGGAATTCATGTTTTCTGTCCTCTTTCTCATCATTTTCAACTTAGTTTTAATATTTCCATGCTTTTCTTATATCTTATTTTTCATGGTATGTTGTGAAGTATTAACTTTCTATAATCTACTAACTTTTCCCTCCATTTAAGACAGTCTGTTTTATCCTGAAATCTGCCTGACCACCTCACCACATGGATCTATGTTCCTATATTTTTCACTTCTTTGGCATTGTTATTATTTTGATCCTGTAGTGACTTCCCAGGTCTTCTGAATTTGTTGTCATAATTTTGTTCTGGTCTGGACTCTGCTATCTGTCCACTGAGTTGCAGATGGTGTTGCTACATCTTTCAATCTCTGGTTGTTGTCTGTTCTTGTTGGTTTTCAGTCCAAAGAACTCCCTTTAGGTTTTCAAGTGCTGGGCTGACTTTGACAAAGTTTCTTAGCTTCTGTTCATCCTGGAATGTTTTGATAACACCAACCTATTTGATTGACAGCTTTGCTGGGTAGATGATTCTTGGTTGGTAGGTTTTTTTGTTTGTTTGTTTCAGTGTATTATATATGTCTTCCCATTGCCTTCTTGTCTGTATAGTTTCTGCTGAGAGATCAGAACTCAGTATGATTTGCTTGCCTTTGTAAGTAACACATCTCTTTCCCTGGCTGCTTTTTGGATTCTCTCTTAGTCTTTGATTTTGTAGAGCTTGATTATGATATGTCTTGGTGATTTTCTTTTGGGGTCTATCCTTCCTGGGGTTCGTTCTACTACTTGCATGCTTGTCTTCTCGTCCTTTAAGATGTTAGGGAAATTTTCTTCTGTAAGTCTTCAACCATCTCTTCTGTGGACTTCTGTGGTTCTTCTTGTTCTGGAATGCCAATAATTCTTAAGTTATTCCTCTTCATGTTATCCAACATAAATCTTAAACTCTCTTCAGATTTTTTTTATCCTTTTTTCTGCTTGCTCTTCTATCTTAACACTATTAAGAGATTTGTCTTTTAGCTTGCTGGTTCTCACTTCCATCTCTTCAACTCTACTCCTTTGCCGTTTCTGTGTATTGTTGATTTCTGATATTTTATTATTAATTGTTTGGACCTCTTTTTTTCAGGTTTTGAATTGTTTCCAAATCTGCATGTATCTTGTTTGATTGCTCCTGTAACACTTTCCTGACTTCTCTCTTATTTTCCTCCACCCCTCTATGAAGCATTTGGATTTGTTTCCATATCATTCTTCTGAGTTCCTTCTCAGATCCAAAGCCTGCCTTCTTCTAATGGGAAGTCTATGTCTGCCTCCAACTCATTTGTCTCAGTTTTCTGTTTCTGGATATGTGCCAAGATCTTTTGTTGTTTTTTCTTGGACATTTTCAACAGTTAGATGTGTTAATTAAATAAATAAATGTATTAAATAAATGTATGTTGCTGTGTTATTATGTTTACTGAGTGTCTCCTGATGGATGCGATTTGGAGATAGGCTTCCCTTTTCAAATATCTTATTACTCAACTCAGAGCTATCTTAGCAAGTATTGGCCATCTATATAATGTGTAGCAGCTGGTATTGGCTCCTGTCCAGATTGTGGGATATTATAGGGTATGCTTGTAGCTTGGCTATATGGCCACGATTGCTGTCTCTTCTTGGGTAACAGGGAGAGAAAGCTCCCACTTCCAGAACAAAGGTAAGACCAAAAAGACAAAAATACAGAAACAAAAGTAAAAGCAAAAACAAAAACAAGCACACAAAACCAAAACCAAAACCAATCCCATAGCAGACTGTCCAGTAGCCTTTACTGTACAGGTCAGTGTGCATGCATAGTAGAAACCTCCAGCGGTGGTTGGGGGTGTCCATTCACTCAGCCCTCCCACCCCAGTCACCGCCGTGGAGGTGCGCAGACAGAGATTGAGAAATGAATAGAAGTAAGATTGTTCACAATTTTATCTCTGAAGATCAGTTAGATATCTGCATATGCATAGCGTAATTCTAAAAATGACTGTGTCTTTATAAATAGTAGTTGCTGTTGGCTCTTGCCTTTTATGTTGGGGTTTTACAGGCTGCAAATACAGTTTGGCTATATGGCCAGACCTGCTGTCTCTTGCTAGGTGATGCAGGAATAAAGGTTCTTGCCCAAGTAGGAGAGTCAACATTAGGGCTATATCCCCAGAGTCAGACGTTATAAGCAGCCAGGGGAGGATTAGCTTCTGGAACTACTGGACTTTCAGTGATTTCCTCTTTGCACCATGGGAAAATTGTACCCTGTGGGCACAACACTGGACCCTTTGGGGTGTACTCCCACTGGCCTAAAGATGCCTGAGCTGGGCAAAGAGGATGTGACAGGGGAGAGGAGGAAAGAAAAGTAAAAAAAGCCATCACACCTCTTTTTCCACAAGTTGCTCCATGGCTTTCACACTGTATCAGCCTGGCTCTCCATTGTTGTTTTTTCAAAGAAAGGAAAATCCTGAAGTATCCAGAAAACTAAATATCCTATAATCCTTCTTTCCCAGAATCATTTACTGGATAATCAATTAATTATTTTTTATTTTATTAGTGTGTGTAAATGTATACATACATATATATAATTTAAGGTGTGCTTTCTTATTCAAAACAGAGCCTACTGGGATGGTAGACGTTTGGTATATGAAGCAACACATTGACTACAATAGTCAACAGATTTCTCTTTTTTGGAAGGTAAGTTTTCAATGTCAGCTTAAAATTCAAGGTCATTATATATTCAAATAAATGATGAGTTTCAAGTCAGAGAAGACCTTCAGTTTTCTTTGTGGCTTTGAAATGAGGCTTGGTTGGAGCTCATCTTCGTGGACACATCCTCACGATTCATTGCTGCATGAATAACCTCTTTTAGAAAGATCAGCACAATCTAGTCCCTCTTTACTGGAAGTTCAAGACATTCCAACTGCCTAACTTTTCCAATATCTTATGTTGTTGTTGAAGTCGGTTCTGACTTACAGCAACCCTGTACAGGGTTTCTTGAGGCTGTAAATCTTTATGGGAGCAGAAAGCCTCATCTTTCTCTTGCAGAACAACTGGTAGTTTCAAACTGCTGACACTGAGGTTCGCAGCCCGATTTGTAACCACTACGCTACCACTCCATAATCCTTGGTATCAATCACCACTCATCCTCTTCCTCAAGTCCCAGGGTTCTGTAACACGTTACAATGTCCTACAGAACTCACCGGTGTCCAAGGAAATGGCTCATGCATCTGTGGAGGCTGGCCCAAATCTGTAGTTCAAAGATCAATCTGGAGGGATCTCCTCATCCACATAGTCTCAGGAGCTGAGGAACCCAATTCAGATGACAGACCATTGATGCACAACACTGCAGGAGCTGGTGAATCAGGTCAGGTGATGGCATGTCAGACCTCATGAGCCAGGTGCAAGATCCAGTCCTATAAATTGGAGTCAGACATGTCCCCAAGGGAAACTAAAACTAAGTTGACCTGAGCTACACCCTCTAGTAAGGTGGGGGACATTCTTAATCCTTGTTGTTGAGTGCCATTGAGTCATTTCCAACTCACAGCAAATTTAACTTTGATATTAAAAACAGGTAAATACAGTACACACAAAAATATGAGCAGCTTGTGGGTTTGATCGGCCAACCTTATGGTTCACAGTCCAGAGCTGATACTACAGCACCACACTTCACTTTTCTCCTTAGTTCCACCTCAATCCTTACTCCTTAGCAGCTCACTTCAAAATGAATCCATAATCACAGGCTAGGATTCACAATATATCACAGATTGGAGACATTTGGCTAGAAGGACCGTGATAAATAATTGTTCTTTATTGTAAAATGCTTTCAAGTAGGTTCCAATTCATAGTGACCCTGTGTAGGGTTTTCGAAAAGCAGCTGGTGGGTTTGAATAGCCAACCTCATGGTTCAAACAGACCTTTTGGTCCAGTGCTTCATCCCACAGCACACCATTGTCATTGTCGTTTGCCTTTGACAGATAAGGATGAGAGTTCTGGTTGTGTTCCCTCCTCTGCATAGTCACATCCTTTCCCCATGCCACTCCCGATCAATAAGGTTCTTTTCCATTCCCAGGCATTACCACCTTCAGACCCCAACTACACCATCTCTTCAGACTTTTCTTGATTCTGACTCTTGGCTCACTCCCATCTCTCTTATACAAAAAATACCCACCAGTGACCATGCCACCTTACTCCTCTTGCTGCTTGAGAAATCAACAATGGAGGATCTGTGGATGTGGACCTTTAGAAATATATTTTCCACAGTCCTTGAAAAGGGAGAGGATGGAAAGGAAGCTACCTTACCTCTGGAACACTAGTAAAAATTAGTTGTAGTCATATCATCTTGGCCTATGGTGACTCTACGTTCCCATGTGTATTGGAACGTAACAAT